TTCGGGACCATCCTGACCAACATGGAGAAATCCCATCTCTACTAAAATTATGAAAATTAGCCGGGTGTGGTGACGCATGCCTGTAATCCCAGCTACTCGGGGAGGCGGAGGTTGCAGTGAGCCAAGATCGCACCATTGCTCTCCAGCCTGGGCAACAAAAGCAAAATACCGTCTCAAAAAATAATAATAATAATAATAATTAGCTGGGTGTGGTGGTGTGTGCTGTAATCCCAGCTAATGGGGAAGCTGAGGGAGAAGTGCTTGAATTCAGGAGGCAGAGGTTTCAGTGAGCTGAGATTGCACCATTGCACGCCAGGCTGGGCAACAAGAGTTAAACTGCGTCTCAAAATAGAAAAAAAAAAAAAAGAAAAGAAAAATGGGATAATACCCATTAGCAAGACCATCACCTCTTTTCAGGTGATAAGCTCAGTAGGGGTCTGGACCCAGACCCAGAGGGAGGCTTCCCTCCCTCCCTCTCCTGCCTCCCCTCCCTCTCCCAGCTCTGTTCCTGGGCCCCAGGAACAAGAGGTTAAATGAATTAATGCATGTGAAGTGCTTAGAATGGCCCCTGGCACATGGTAAACAGCAGCTGCCCTTTAACTCTCAGGACGTGTAGCGATGATGGTACTAGGCTACCTAGAATGTCCACTTCTTGGATTTCAAATCTCTGATAGTATGAAAATAGCAACTAGTATGCCGGGTGCGGTGGCTCACGCCTGTAATCCCAGCACTTTGGGAGGCCGAGGCGGGTGGATCACGAGGTCAAGAGATCGAGACCATCGTGGTCAACACGGTGAAACCCCGTCTCTACTAAAAATACAAAAAATTAGCTGGGCATGGTGGTGCGTGCCTGTAATCCCAGCTACTCAGGAGGCTGAGGCAGGAGAATTGCCTGAACCCAGGAGGCGGAGGAAGCGCTGGGCCAAGATCCTGCTACAAGACTCCAGCCTGGGTAACAAGAGCGAAACTCCCTCTCCTGGGACTCAGGAGCACTTTTTAAAAAGAAAATAGCAACTAGTAGTAATAATGCTCCTTGCTATTATTTTTTTAAAAAGTGCTCCTGAGTCCCAGTTGCTGCTAAAGGGTTGATATGCATAATCTCATTTAATCTTAACAGGAGCCTGGTCAAGGAATTGCTGTTGTCTCCATCTCATGGATAAGGAAGCTGAGGCTCAGAAAAGCAAGAGAATTTGCACGAGATCATGCAAGGAAGGTAGGAACTAGGATTTGAACCCAAGTGGTTTGTTCCAATGAAGCTTCATTTACAGAAGCCGAAGCCAGCCTGGGGGTCATCGTTTGGTAATTTGAATTCTAAAAATATTACATTGAAATATGATTTGTCTTGATTACCGAGTTTGCTGTACCCCTTCCCTTAAAGTCAGCCACCAGGCTGGAGGGTGGGATTAGGCTGGGACTTTTCCCAGTAAGGCCACTGGTGGACAATACCCTTGAGAATTTGAGAATTTGTCCAGTTCTAGTCACTGTCATCTTCTGAACTCAGTGCTCTTTAATGCCCATTGTGCACAGGGAGCAGCTGAGGCACAGAGAAAAGGGAGTAGAAGGCACTGTTGGCTGGGCACCGTGGCTCACCCACACCTGTCATCCCATCACTTTGGGAGGTCGAGGCGATCGGATCATGAGGTCAGGAGATTGAGACCATCCTGGCCAACATGCTGAAACCCCGTCTTTACTAAAAATACAAAAATTAGCTGGGCGTGGGTGTGTGCCTGTAATCTCAGCTACTTGGGAGGCTGAGGCAGGAGAATTGCTTGAACCCTGGAGTTGGAGGTTGCAGTGAGCCGAGATCGTACCACTGCACTGTGACAGAGCAAGACCATGACTAAACCCTCTCTAAAAAAAAAAAAAAAAGAAGAAAAAAAAGAAGGCATTATCTAGTCCAAGGTCTCCGGGTTCCTAGATTGGGTACTTTCTCCCATGCCATACCTTCCTGGTAGTTTGGATCAGCTCTGTAGCCCTGGACTCTGGGCAAAGACCTGCAAAGGCTGAGTTAGACAAGAGGAGCTTGCCAGCCTAAGAGGCTGCACCCTACCCTGCTGCAGGGGCCTCTCATCTGCCTGGGTGTGGCACAGCCTTTAAAGCTTGACTTCTTAGGCCTGTTGTGGTGGCTCACACCTGTAATCCTAGCACTTTGGGAGGTTGAGGCAGATGGATCACTTGAGTTCAGGAGTTTGAGACCAGCCTCAGCAACTTGGCGAAACCCTATCTCTACTAAAAATACAAAAATTAGCCGAGCGTGGTGGTGGGCGCTTGTGGTCCCAGCTACTTGGGAGGCTGAGGCAGGGGGATCACTTGAGCCCAGGAGGATCACTTGAGCCCAGGAGTGATCTTGCGGTGAGCCAAGATCATGCCACTGTACTCCAGCCTGGGTGACAGAGTGAGACCCTGTCTCAAAAACAAAAACAAAAACAAAAACAAAAACCCAAAGAAAAAAAAATCTTCACTCCTTATACCTCTTGGCAGGCTAGGGCTAGGGTAAGGTGAATCAGGCATTTGCTTCCAATGCAAAATGTAACAGGTGTCCCAAAACTTAGTAATCAAGAAAATATTTTAATGTAATATTTACAAAAATGGAAGTTAATGCAAAAAAAAAAAAAAAATCCAAGATGAACAACATGTTAACGACACGGTTCACCCTGCGCTTGCCCAGCCCTTTCTCACTCACCTCACCCTAATCCTGGCCCTGGTTCCAATAAAACTTTGTTTACAAAAACAGGCAGCCAGCCTGTGGGCTGGAATTTGCTGTTTGATTTAAAAAAATATTATTATGATATTATTTCTCTTGATTGGTGAGTATTTTTATGCCTCCCTTGATTCACCCTAGTCCTGGTTTTGTAGTTCCCAGTTTTGGGTTTGAAGCTTGACGCTGACCCTTCCTGGCTGTGCGGTCAGCAACCAGTCAACCTTTCATTCCCCTGCTGCCCTCATCCCCAGCTGATGGGGATGATGCTGTTCAGAGTGCCTGGCCCTGAATCAGTTAAAGAGTTAAAGGCTTGTTGTTATTCTGGCTTTTTTTTTTTTGAGACGAAGTCTTGTTCCATCGCCCAGGTTGGAGTACAGTGGTGTGATCTCAGCTCACTGGAACCTCTGTCTCCTGGGTCAAGCGGTCCTCCTGACTCAGCCTCCTGAGGAGCTGGGATTATAGGCTCCTGCCACCACACTCAACTAAGTTTTGAATTTTTAGGAGAGACAGGGTTTTTACCATGTTGGCCAGGTTGGTCTCAAACTCCTGGCTCCAGGTGATCCACCCGCCTCGGCCTCTCAAAGTGCTGGGATTATGGGCACGAGCCACTGCACCCAGCCCTGTTGTTATTCTCTGTTCCTTCTCCTGATCCAACGCCCAGCATCTTCCTACCATGCCCCTGCCCCTCCAGACCCCAGGCATAACCCTACTCTGGTTTCCAGTTTGCTCATCTGTAATGGAGGAGTTGGACAAGCCTGGTGTCTGGGAGATTTTACAGAGTCCTGAAACCAACAACTCGAGGCGCTGAACAGAAAGAACCCAAGTCCCTGAGGCAGGGCTGAAGGCTCACTTACATTTTCTCACTTGGGGCTGGAAATGACATCAACTCAAGGTGGGAACATGTGCCCATCACAAGGCTAGCTCTAACTCTGGTGAATTAAAAAATGCTTTCAGAACAGGGGTGCTTGCGAGAAGAAGTAACTTAAGGAGTCCTTGGAGGTGAGGACCTCTCCTAGAAGGGTCTTTGGAAGTGAGGAAGCCAGCAGTCTCTTGCCTAGATGTCTGGAGATCCCTTCCAAGTCTCCTATTTTTTTTTTTTTTCTTAGATGGAGTCTTGCTCTGTCCCCAGGCTGGAGTGCAGTGGCACTATCTCAGCTCACTGCAAACTTCGCCTCCTGGGTTCAAGTGATTCTCCTGCCTCAGCCTCATGAGTAGCTGGGATTACAGGAGTGTGCCACCATGCCCAGCTAATTTTTGTATTTTTAGTAGAGACGGGGTTTCACCATGTTGGTCAGGGTGGTCTTGAACTCCTGACCTCGTGATCTGCCCACCTCAGCCTCCCAAAGTGCTGGGATTACAGGCATGAGCCACGGTGCTCAGCCATCTCCCATTTTAATAGTCATATTGCTAACCACCGTAATTAATGCCTCCTGTATGCCAGGCAGTTAATATATATTATTTCCCTTGACCACAGGACAGCTCAGTGGACATCCAATGGGGGTCTCTATCTTTATATTAGAGATAAGGGCATTGATGCTCAGGGTGCAAAGTAGATTTCTGATGGACCCACAGAAGTGGTGGAAGTGGGATTCTCACCCAGATCTGCGGGCCCTGAGCCTCGGTTCTGTCCACCTCGGCAAACCCCCTCTGCCCCACCTATGCTGGATGAGGGCTGAGGCCTCTCACCTGGGACAGATGGCAGGTAGAGAAGTCACCTGAGGTTCCAGAGAATTGGAACCTGGTTCTTGCCACCATCTAGATCTTCTGCCCCCTATGACACAGCCAAAGAACAGATCCATCAATGAAAGACTCTGCCTTTCCTCTATAATTAGAGGTCCTCACCCACTAGCCCTGTCTTGGACAGAGAAGGAGCTCAGGAGAAGGTTCCTGGAGACATGCTCTCGTCCCTGCTGCATCTAGTCCTTAGCTGTCGATTCGGGGCAATCTTCTACCTGTTCAAGGCTCCTGTGGGATCAGTGACATGGCGGCTGTGAAAGAACCTGGTTTCCCGGGATTGTGGCAGATCCCTGAGGAGACCAGCCCTGGGCTGATGGTTAAGATATTAGGGGCGGCCGGGCATGGTGGCTCACGCCTGTAGTCCTAGCACTTTGGGAGGCCAAGGCGGGTGGATCACCAAAGTTGGGAGTGTGAGACCAGCCTGACCAACATGGAGAAACCCCACCTCTATTATAAATAAAAAATTAGCCAGACGTGGTGGCGCATGGCCTGCAATCTCAGCTACTCAGAAGGCTGAGGCAGGAGAATCGCTTGAACCTGGGAGGCGGAGGTTGCAGTGAGCCGAAACTGTGCCACAGCACTCCAGCCTGGGCAACAGAGTGAGACTCTGTCTCAAAAAAAAAAAGAAGACTTTAATAATATTACTAATACTCCTCATACATAAATAGTAGCAAAGAAAAATTACTAATATTAAAGTAACTGATATTTACTGACTGCGTACTATACACCAGACGTGGCTCTAAGCATTATATACATAGACATTCTATACTTGATCCATCTACCTGTTACAACTCCTTATGAAATAGGTCCTGTTATCCTCAATTTGCAAAAGGCCTAACCTGAGGCTTCAAGGCCTGAAGGACCTTTCAGCTCATCAGTGATGCAATCGGGATTTGGATCTAGGGCGTCTGTGTTGGAGACCAACCTCTCAAACCCTACTCCTGCTCTTGAGGGATGCGGGGTTTGTTAGCCTCCTTGCCCACTTCAACTAGCTCACCCAAGTCCTACTTTGAATCAGTTAACGATGAGCAATCGTCCTTCTTTCAGAATCTGGTGTTCTTGTTGCGTGGCAGTGTCTGTCGTATATCTGTGTGACGTGTGTTAACAGCGCTGTGGGAAGAGGGTGGGTCTACTGGAGCTCTTTAAAGGGCAGGGTAGGGGCTGTGTCTGTCTCGTTCAATGCTTTCTCCCAGGGCTTGCACATAGTAGTTGCTCAATAAATACCTGTGGAATAAATGTACGCGTGTGTACTCAACTTCAGACCCTGGAGACTGAGGATGAGCCTGTTGGGGGTCAGGACCAGCTCCAGAGCATGGTCCAGAGGCCCTGCTTCTGTCTTGAGCTCCCACATCTCATCTGCTAGGTCCCTGCTCCTCTGAATGAGGCCCTGCCTGGCTGGAGAGCTTAGGAGAAAACCAGCCAAGAGCATCCTTGTCTGTAAAAGGGACCAAGGAAACCTGCCTCGACTGGCTGCAGGGAAGCTAAGTGAGATGGCAGGACAGACATAGACATGCCATGGCATTTGTCACCGGGGTGAGGACAATGTTAGCCTGGGCTCAAAGGGTTAAGGGATGAGGTCAGAGCCTTTATTGCAGCAGGCCAGACTGCTGACTGCCAGTGCCCAGGACCAATCCCCAGGGGCTGGGGATCTGCCTTGTGAGAGGAACTGGGAGGGGAGAGAACCACTGGAGGCAGCACGGAAAGAGAAATGGGGAGAAGGATTCCTGAACGCCAGGCTTTTCTGAACTTACCACTGGCCAGGGAGTACCGGAGGGGAGGGAGAGAATGAGGGGATGCCGGGAAGAGATTTAGGAGGGAGGAGCGGAGCCATCTTGTGATTCTGGGCCTGGAAGCTGGTAGTGTGCTGGTTAGGGAGAGGGGACAATATTGGGGAGTGGGAGTCCTGCAGAGGGGCTGTGGGGTTGGGCACCTGAGGCCACACATATGCAATGAGGAGGGCACTCCTTCTGGCCAGGCCTCTTCTCTGGTCCCTTCTGCTAGGGCCTCAACCCAGAAGCCAGCCATGCGAGGCAGCTCTCCCCTTGGGGTTAACTTTTATCTGATGGTAGCTTTTGACCCATTAAGGTGCACAAAACTTCCACCCCTGATGCCTGGCTTTGGGAATGAGGGAGGAAACAAATAGAATTGATCATGTTTCTTTAGGCTCAACAGATGCCATTGGGAGGGCCAACTAGCGTTGTGGAGGGCAGCAGCCATCAGTTAAATGCTACATAAAACGCACCGCTTAGCCAGAAGAGGAGCATCAGCCCTGGAATCACTGCCAAATTTGCTCCCCCATGATGGATCTTAAGCAGTTGCCCGACTTCGGCCAGTCCATGCCAGAGCCTGGGCATGAGCAGCTGGACCCTAGACCTTATTCTGCCAGTGTGGCATCAGAGGTGCTGGGTCCCTCATCCTCTAATCCGAGTGCCCCCTGCTCCTGGCTCCTTGCACTCCTCTCCTCATTTCCTTTCTTCTTTCTCCCTCCCTCCTCCATCCCTGTAGGCATCACCATGGCACCACAGCAGAGCAGAAACCCAGCGCAATTCACCCACCTCTCCCCGCCTGCTGGGAGCCCAAGCTTCTGCCTCTCAGAGCTGGCTGCACCCCCTGCTCTCCCACCCCATCTTCCTGCTCATGGAGGCGGCAGCGCAGCGTTGTGCTAAGGATGCGGAGAAGGGGTCCAAGCCCCCTTCTCTGACCATAAGCATGTCCTTTGCCCTTTCTCAGCCTCAGTGCCTCTGTACCATGGAAAGGCTCCTTTCTAGTCTGCCATGACCTTTGTTTAGCCCCTTCTTGACACTTTGGACTCCCATTACACTTCAGGATCCAGCTCTCAGAACTCCAACCGCCAGCTGTCAGCTGTGAGCCAAGACTCACATCTTCTGCAGCCCATTTCCCTGCCTCCTCCCCTTTGATATCTCAGCAGCGATAGTGACTGCAGCTTGCCTGGCGGCTGAGGTCAGAGGGCAGAGAACTCTCATCTGACAGACAGCGCGGTGAACAGCTGAATACCCCTGGCAAGGAGACTGCCTGGCTGTGGGAGACTGCCCGGCTCCTTCCAGCCAGTTGGGCAGGGGTCTTACATCAGTCTGGGGGGAGCTGCAGGTGTGTTTTGTGCAAAGAGGTGAACCCCTCTAACCCCTCTTCATTGGCTCTGATAACCTCTAAGCTGCAGATGTCGGAATGAGCTATGAAAGCTGACGACCCCCTCCCCAGCTGGCCTGCCCAGGAGCTGTCAGCTCTACAAGAACCAGAGTTCCTGGCCCCTAGTCCTTCCCCACATTGTGCAGTGTGGGGTTACTGGGTGAGTACCTGGCATGGGTGCCCACTGGTATCCATGCATTGCCTGGACGTAGGACTGAGACCCGCCCTGGGGGAGCCCAACATACTAGAAACATAAAGAGGGTCCTCTGGGCCCCTGCACACTTCAGGGCCACGTTCCCTGGCCAGGGTGGCCATCCAAGCCCATTTGTCCCCAGAGAGCCCTGAGGCTCTTTGCCTGGTCTCCTGCTGGCTTCTGGCCCGACACCCACCTTGACTTCCAGCTTCTCTGTCTGGCCAGCAGCCTGATTCAGTCCATCTCGGGGGAGCTGAGGTGGATGGGGATGGTGGGTTTCAGGGTGCCCTGAGAGAGGAGAGGAGGAGGTTTTGGGACTGGGACCCCCATAAAAAGGGGGGTCAACTTCCCACAGGCTGCTGGTGGCAAGGGCTGCTTCCTGGCCCCTTGCCCTTCCACTCTGCCCCTAGGGTGCTGGGGGCTCTGCTTGCTACCAGGCACCCTCATCCCTTCTGGGCCTCAGGTCCAGTTTCCTGAGGGGGTCTCCATCTCCTCTGCCAGCTGAAGCCCAGAAAAACATTAGATATATCCACTCAAAGCTAGGAGGCGGGTGTTCAGAGCAGCCAATGTGCAATGCTACAGAGTCCCCTTGCCCTCTAGACCCCTCCCTGGCCCCCTCCTATCTCTGGGGGTCCATCCCTATTTCCATCTCATCCTGGTCCCTGCCCTCCCCCACTCCCCAGGACCCTCCTACCCTCCAGCTCAGTGCGGCCCCTCCCAAACCCTCCCAAATGTACTCACCATGGGGCTGAAGAGGGGTCTGTAGGGTCCTCAGCCCCACTGCCTCCCTGGGGGCCGGCGGCGTCTCCAGGGACCCAAACACCTGGCTCCCGGGGGGAGCTGCGCCCTGTGCTGGCAGCGGGAGAGGCACAGCCAGTGATTGGCATGTCCCACCCCCTGGCACGCCAGCCTTAGGGGGGAGGGAGAAAGGGAAAGAGAGGGAGGGAGGAAAGGGAGAAAAGGAAGGGAGGGGAGCTGGAGGGAAGCCTCAGGCAGCGTCTGGGGTTGGACTAGGTTCTGGAGTGTGCCCCCCTCCTCCACCAGGGCACCCAGTTTGAGCCCCAAGACGGAGGAGGAAGGACATGAGGAAGGCAAGCCCAGGAAGGCTAAAAGTCCAGGACGGGAGAGAAGGCGGATACAGGGAGACAAACACCCACACCCACTGCACAGACCCGGCGGCACACACACACCCTCACAAAGGCACACTGTTTCCTCAGGCTTCTTCCCCCCACCCAACCTTAGAGCCCCCAACCCATGTGCACCATGCCCCAACACACATGCCCCTATATTCACATGCCTGCTTCCCTTGCATACATGCCCTCCCCCCTGCACACGCCCACGCACCCACCCACCCAGCTACACACCCTGCTCTTCCTCCCTGCTGCGAGAGAGCTAGATTCCTTCTGTTTGGAAATGACACATTGGGTCTCACGTGAGAGGCTCCAACTTGGAACAGACCCAGAGGGCTGGTGTACCCGCCCGGGGGCTGAGCGAACGTGCCCGTGTGCTGGGCTCTGTGATCCAGCGTTAGTTTTCGCGCAGCCCCTTGTGAGGGTATATGGGTGTCTGCTTCTCAGGGATGAGGAGGGGACCAGGTGCCTGCCCCATGTGCAGCTGAGTGCCCCGCATGTGTGTGTCCCTGTGTACTTGTGTCACCATGCAGCCTGTGTAAACGCAGGTGTGCCCTATCGTTCTGGAGCAGGACGCATGTGCACACGTGTGTCTGTATTTGATGAGTGGCTGAGTGTTACCCAACTGTGGAACTTGCTAATTCTGACAAGGGAGGCAGCCTCTACCTGCCTGCTCCACCCCAAGCTTCCACTTGGAAGACAGACAGACAGACAGGCCGAGAGACAGCTCTCCTCCCAGCTTGTCAAACTCTGTCTTCCCTGACTCCCACTCAGGGCTCACAGGTGTGTACCTGGGAGGAGATGAGCCCTTCTCCCCATCTCCCTCAGCCCTACTGCTAGGCCAGCATCTCTCCCTTCCAGGTTGGTTTGGATTTCTGTGCTGAGCTTCCTCAGAGACAGAACCTCTGGGGATGGGGGGCCGGAGGGGAGGCGGGTCCGTTTGCCATAGAGACCTGGGTCCTGAACCGCCTCCGTTTGTCCCTAGAGACCTCCCCAGAAGCAGACTGGGGAGGAGAGTTGGAGGCTTCAGGGACTGCCTGCTGGGGCTGCTGTATTCTTTACCCCACTGGGCTGCACCGATGTCCTGGGGTGAGAAGCAGGAAGGAATGCGACCATCAATATCCCCATTTTGTAGTTGAGAAAACTGAAGAGCAGAGGTGTGATTAACGTGGTGGCAGGTGTTTGGACTAGGCCCCTTGGCTCTAAGCCCAGGGCTCTGGAGTCTGGGGTAGGGGTTTCCCTTACCCATTTTCCCACCAAGGACCCCCGCCAACGGTGATGCCTGAGGGTAACCTGGTGCTTTCTCACCCAGAAGCCCAGTTGGCCAATGGAGCCAAGTGGAGCTGAAACTGGAGTTCCTGGGGTTTGCCACTGGAGTTCCTGGGGTTTGGTCAGCAGCTACTGGTGGGCACACGTGGCAGGTACATGTTGGGGCATCTGTGCTTCTCAAAGCCAGCTGGGGCTCCAGCAGGCACCCAGTCCTCCTCCCTGCCGAGGCCAAGCAGAGGCTGCAGCTTGGAGAGAAATGTAAGTGAGCATCCCCCTTCCCTCCCAGGGTCACCCAGACCGTCAGGGTTGGGTCAGAACTTGACCAGTCCCTGCCGTTGGGCGCGGACTCCGGATGCCCCCTGCTGGGCTGCCCTGGGTTTGCCGCTGCGCTTACGCGGCGCGGTGGGGCTGCGTGTACTTGTGCGCGTACACGTGGCTCAGTGTGGGGGTGTTAGGCCTCCACGCTCAACATCCATTTCCGAGTCTGAATCAGGCTCCCTCTTTGCCACCTCCCCCCAATCTCCTTGGTCTCCCTTTTCTCTTCTCCCACCGCCTCTGCACACGTCCCTTTAGAAATAAAAACACTTATTTTGTGGGCGGGTGGGGAGGGTGTCCAGCTTTCCCCTGCCTCCTCCTGAGTGCCCCCCTCTGTCCCACGCAGCTTCCTTTTAAAGTCTGTGCAGTCGCGGAGGCAGGGGGATGGCGCACCCCCTCCACTTACTGTATCACTCTTCTGACTTCCCCGCCCGGACTTGGCTAGGTCCCCCTTATCAGTGGGGAAACTGAGGCAGGAGGGGAGAGGAGAGGTAGGGCCGGGAGAAGCGCTCCCGCCCGGCTCGCTCACCACCCCCGCACCCGCGCCCGATTTAGCCGCAGGGAGGCTGGGAACATTGTCTTTATTTTAAGCCGCCGAGTGCGGCACGAACGCGGCTGCTCGCGACAAAGGGCTTCTTGAAGAGGCTGCAGGCAGCGCACGTGGGGCTTTGGCCCCGCCCCCGCGCGACCCCCTCCAGTTCTCCCCCCATCTCTGGCTGGGTCGGGTAGGGGCTGACTCTTGGGTCTCTGCTCCTGCTGGTTGCTATTTTTGGTCGCTTCGCCGAGAATTCACTCCTTAGGCTACCGAGGGAACGTGGAGTCGCCATTGCGCGGCTTGGCCCCCTTCTCGACCCCTTACTGTGGAGGAGGAGAGTGCCCTGCGTGCGAATTCAGCTTGGCATTTTCCTAGCTGAAGCGGCCTGAGAAAGTTAGGCCCCCTCTGTAGGTCTCAGTTTCTTCATCTATGACAAGAAAATAGAAATACCTTCCTGATCAGGTTGTTTGACGGGTTAGTTGAGCTTCTGCAGGTAAAACGTGGCACGTGCATCTGCAAAATGTGAAAGCCATCATTGCCCTTTTTTTTTTTTTTTTGATTCAGGGTTTCGGTCTGTCGCCCAAGCTGAAGTGCAGTGGCGCGATCAGAGCGCACTACAATTGCCTCCCGGGCTCAAGCGATCCTCCTCTCACCGCAGCCCTTCCCTCCACCCACCCCTACCCGCGCGCAGCCTCCCCTCCACCTCAGAGTAGCTGGAACTACAGGCGCGCGCCACCCCTCCCGGCTTAAAATTTTTTTTTTAATTGACGGGGTTTCACCCTGTTGGCCAAGCTGGTCTCAAACTCCTGAGCTTAAGTGATCCGCCTGCCTCCGCCCCTCTTGGTATCCCAAAATGCTGGGATTACTGAGCCAACACGCCAGGCTGTTATTTATAACACGTTTCGAGCACCTACTACGTGTCAGGAACTACTAAGTGCTCTATATTCTTTTTTTGAGACAGGGTCTCACTCTGTCGTCCAGACCGGAGTTCAGTGGCATGATCTCGGCTCACCGGTAACCTCTGCCTCCCCGGCTCAAGCGATTCTCCTACCTCAGCCTCTTCAGTACTGGGATTACAGGCGCTCACCACTACCGGCCAGCTAATTTTTGTATTTTTAGTAGAGACGGGGTTTCTATGTTGACCAGGCTGGTCTCCAACTCCTGATCTCAAATGATCCACCCACCTTGGCCTCCCAAGGTGCTGGGATTACAGGCCTGAGCCACCACAACCGGCCTCTATATTCTTTAACTTCTCACAACTCTAGGAGGGAGGGAGGTTCCATTATTACCATTTTACAGATGAGTAGATTTACAAGCGGCGTGGGTCCCTGTGGTTTCGTGGAGGCTGCGATCAGTGAGCCTGGAACCATCCTAAGGCTGAGCACCGGCTGCAGTTCTGGGGATGGCAGGACTGTGGGACAGCGTTATTTATTTACTTATTTTTGAGATCAAGTCTTGCTCTGTCACCCAGGCTGGAGTACAGTGTCGCAATTTTGGCTCACTGTAACCCCTGCCTCCGGGGTTCAAGAGATTCTCCTGCCTCACCCTCTCGAGTAGCTGGGACTACAGGCACGAGCCACCACAGTTAGCTAATTTTTTATTTTTAGTAGGGACAGGATTTCTCCATGTTGGCCAGGATGATCTCGATTTCTTGACCTTGTGATCCGCTCGCCTCGGCCTCTCAAGAGTGCTGGGATTACAGGCAGGAGCCACCGCGCCGGGCCGGGACAGCATTTTTAAGAGTCTCAGGGTCGGGCAAGGCCGCAAGTGGGTGGAGGAAGGAAGTGAACAGGCTCCGGGAGTGCGCTGCAGACCTTGAGTGTAAATCTTCACCCTCGGTTTTAATCCGTGTCGGAAACTCAAACCCAGCTAAATGTGTCACTTTTACGACGCTGCTTCCTCTGGCCTGGGGCAACCTGCATTCGAGCCCGGGTGGGAGGCAGAGGGTCGGCCTGAGGGCTCCGCTCCTCGCCTCTTCACCGTCAATGGCCTCAGGCCCTCAGCTTCGTCTTTCCTCGCCATACTCTCCCCCCAGGACTCCAGGAGAGACTAATTCCCAGATTTAAAACAAGAAACTCAAATCCAGGGCGGGGCCGCGGAAAGAGCTGGCCCAGCAAGCGGTCCCCAGAGTCCCCGCCGTCCGAGGCAAGAGCGGACGCGGCCACAGCAAAGGCATCTTATTGGGACAGGAAATCGGGATTTTCCGAGTCCTGTTTCCAAGTCGAGGCCTTGTAGACGCTTCGCCTTTCCTCCCCTACCACGTGCTGGGCGCCGGAGGGCAGGGGGAGTGCGGGGAAGCGGCCCCACTTTCCCGCCCCAAGTCTTGAGGGCAGTTCCCGAAGAAAAGATGGGTTTGGGGCCGTCGCGAGCGCGTCGCCTCGCGTGTTTTCCCGCGGTCCCCCAGTCCTTACAGCCCGGCAGGAGACTCCCCTGAGTTGACTCTGTGTCCGGGGTCGGGCCAGGGGTAGTGAATGCTGGGAACTGAGGGATCGCCACATGGCGTTTCGGACCTCCGGCTGGACCGGGCCGTGGAGGGGAGCTGCGTTCCCATATGGCATCCCTAACTGTCCTCGGTCCCTGCCTATGAGGACACCATCTGGAAGTCCAGGCCACTGGCTGCCACCCTGGAGCTGGCCGTGCCGCGGACTTGCGGCCCCGACCGAGGAAGCAGGCGCCTTCCCCCGCACTATGGAAGCTCGCGCCCCTCGCTGCCTGAAACACCTGATTCACGGGGTCGACCCTGCTTCGCTAGGTCGTCTGCGGACCCTGGGCTCCCAGTTTTCCGCTGCAGGGTGGACGAGCCCTGGCCCAGGCGGGTGTAGGTCCTCCGTGAAACTGCTGGAGCCCCGTGGAACTTCGGACGGGATATTTGGGGTCCAGAGCAGGTCCAGTCTCAAGGGAACCCCCAACTCTGCACAGTGGAATCCAATCGCCCAGTGTCGTGGCACCAGGATCCCCTGCTTCCAGCCCGGCAAAGTTGCACCCTTCCTTCCCTTGCCCGCTTCCTCCCTCAGTTCCCTAGACGCCCGATCCTCGAGTGCCCCCCACCCAGGCGGAGGCCAAAGCTTGAAGCCCAGATGGCGAGGGGTGAGTGGGAAGACGCCGGGCGAGTGGAGCCTCAGCCGGGTTCCTTTACTTGAGACCCTCTCAGGCACCGCAAGTATCCCCGAGGCACCGAGAGGTTCAGTAACCTGTCCAAGGTCACACAGCGAGTAGGTGCCAGAGTCAGGCCAGTAGAATTCCAATCATTGCTTTTGCCCGGATCCTAAAGCTCCCCCCAATGTCAAATGTGCTCGCTTCTCCGAGAGACCCTCGCCACAGCGCAGGCGCCGTAAGTACGTCGGTGGGTCGGGAGCTGCCCTTCGCCCTCCTGGCCTGCAGAGACAAGAACCTTTGTTGATTGGCTCCCAGGGGTTATGCGCCTCAGTCCTGGGGCCGCTCCGGTGACGCGCACGACCCTCCACGCCCCCGCCGCGGCTCCTAGCGGCCCACCCAGCTCTGTGCCTAGGAGGGGCCGGACGAGGGGCTGGAGTGCCTGGGCGGGGACGGGGGCCTGCTCCCCTTCTCCGGGAGAGAAATAACAGCACTTATACCTCCTTCTTGCCCCCGTGCAGGCCTTTTGTTGGCTGGGGTGGGTAAGGGGTTGTGCACAGCTAACGCTAGGAAAGCGATAGGAGCTGGCTGCCCTGTCTTTATTGAGGGATTGCTCCTGGCTACCGCATTCATAGCATCTTTGCGCGCACCTTCTCATTTAATCTTCACGACTGCTCCACGATGTAGGCACGGTTACGGTCCCCATTTTGCAGACAGAAAACAGGCCCAGGGAGGTTAGGTAACAATCTGCCCTCTTAAGCCCTGCCCGGTTTGCAGGTTTTGCCCCCAGCTTGGAGCCTAACTAGCTGAGAACACTGCTGACTGTAAGAGGGAGTTTCCTGGGAAATTGCTAAATCGATGTCTCCTGCAGTCCTTTGTTTTCTGGTCCCATCATATTAACAAACACTTGCATAGCACCAGCGATCTGCTGTCCCCCTTCTCAGTGTTTTACATG